TGAAAAGTTTAAAGATATCAACAAAGATACTCAGATAGTAGGAGTGAGAGAAGAGGCAGTGAAAGCATATCTAGAAAGAATGAATAAAAGTGTAGATAGCAATGTGATGTACATATATGAGAGCAAGTTTCTGAAGTATGTGAGACTCTGTGCTGAAAATAACTTTTATTATGTGAAGGCAGAATGCAAGGCACAGATGAAGAAGAGTGTGTCATATAAAGTGGATGTATGTGTTGATATGGATGGGTGCATCGTGGAAAGTCAGTGCGAGTGTGCTGTGGGCATGGGCCCAACTGCTGCATGTAAGCATGTATGTGTTGTGTTATTCAGTTTACAGATGTTTTGTAAAAGTGGAGACATTGTAACCGAAGAGACATGCACTCAGAACCTTCAAACTTTCCATCATACCAAAGTGTACAAAGGCAGTCCAATAAAGGCAAATGACTTGCCTTTAGCTGGTGAAGTGGATGTTAGTTATGATCCAAGACCAAGAGCATATCGCAATATGCCAGGATATCCAGATACCTTCAGAAATGTCTGGCTAAATCATCCCAACATTAGTGATTTAGCAGTCTCACAAATCTTCCCACTTGCCAACACAATTGGGTTAGAAAAAGACCATGACTATTTAAGTCATCCATTGTCATACATATGGTTACAAAACATGAATATAACAAATATTTCAGATGAGGATATTGTTAAGTTAGAAGAGCAAACACGCGGTCAAAGTAAAAGTGCTATCTGGCGAGATGAGAGACGAAAGAGAATTCATTCTTCCAACTTTGGCAGAATTTGCAAGGCTACTGATAAAACTGATTTTTTAAAGCTGGCTGAAAATTTAACAAAGCACATGCCAGAAATTCGTGTACCTGCTATTTTGCATGGTAGATGTTATGAGTCAGTGGCAATAAAAAAGTTTGAGGAAAAATTTAATGTTAAAACCTCAAAATGTGGAATATTTGTTTCAAAGTTGCATCCTTTTATAGCTTCTTCACCTGATGCCATCTTGGACCAAAGTACACTTATTGAAGTTAAATGCCCCTACCATGCAAAATACAATAAAATATCAGAGGAGACTGTCACGTATTTAAAAAATGTTGATGGATGTTTAGAGCTAGACAATACTCATGACTATTTCTATCAAATTCAAGGGCAACTTTTCTGTTCAAACAAAACATGCTGTTATTTAGTTGTTTACACACTGAAAGATCTTAAAGTTATCTCAATTCAAAGAGACCAAGCATTCATTGACAGAATGTTGCAGAAATTAATTTCATTTTTTGACACATACTTCAAGACTGCTGTTCTGAAGAACTTTTATTACCATGACCACAAAATGAACTAAAATTTAAGTTGTTAACAATGACATCTATGGACCTATAGGCACTGCCACACATGAACAGTTTTTTTTCTTTATATGTTGTAAATAGAAACTTACACTGGGTACATGTTCATACAGTTATAGTTATACTCTCTATGTGTACATTGATCATGTACCTCAAAATCTATTCACATGGCTATGTAACTAGCTATGAGACTAAGTTGTATAAATACTTGCAACTAATTGAGAATTAATAAATAAATAAACTGACAATCCATTGGTTAGATTAGGATAATATTAAAGTAGTACATGTAAATGTATTATAATTTTTACCACCTTGTTATCAATAAAAGAAGTTCATTAGATAAGCATGTGAATTCTTTTTTCAACCAGACTGCACAAATTGAATATGTTTTGTCAAAGTATAAAAACTTTCCATTAAAAATGTTTTAATATATACCATGTCCTATCATAGTTATTGACTCTGTGAACCAACTTCAATTCATTCATTTTCACTGAAGACAAAATCATGCATGTTTGGGAACAATACATTTTTTGAAATTACAAAGCGTGAAACATACAAATAAAATTTCACTGGCTAATTTTGTCTCGGTTGTATTTAAGGGTGTTTTAAGAATTTTGTATGTCTTCCCTAACCCTATCAGCCGTTCAATATGAACTCTTTTGCTGGATATTTTGCGATCACGCAAAACTGTCTTTCCTGACATTCTGTTTTGTTTCTTAAAAAATGAAGGAATATTTACACTTACATCTTTAGGAGCAAACAAATCTTGGACATTGAATCCTTTGTCTGCCATAAGAGAATCGCCAGGTTCAAATAAGTCAGTACTTACCAAAGGACTCCGTTCAACAAGCTGTCTATCACTTGCAGACCCTCCATAAGCAGAAGACACATATGAAATTAAACCCCCTGGAGTTGAGCCTACAAGTACTTTGACAGTGTTTCTATTTTTATATGTAGAGAAGGTTGCTTGTTGGGCAATGGGTGGTTTAGGTTTCTTTACAGGAATCTCAGTTCCATCAAGCAGAACTCGTGTGGAGGGGAACTTACTGTAAAAATCAGAGGGGGAGAAAAAGGAGACCAGGTCTTTGTCTGGCCAGAAATTCAGTTCCCTCCACTGTCTTGACATGAAATTGACCCAGGTAATCCAAATATTTTCAACAGTTGTTTGTGATATTGAAAATAGTCTACTTAATTCAAAATTGGGCTTATGTTGCCTCAACTTAATCAGTGTCAAAAAGAGCTGATTTTCAATGGACATATTTTGAACCTGATTATAAATATAATTGAGATGAAAGGCTGCTTCACCAAGACTATACAGTACATGTAAAAAGTCTGTATAGGAACTCAACCCTGTATAAAACATGATGCCTTCATCATCATACATGAAATTTTCAATACACATGATTGGCGATTTTGCTGTTTGACTTGATGAATCTACAAAAACAGGTGCAACAGGGGCACTTATCTCAATATCATTATCACTGAAGCAAGACTTTTCATCCTCAACTTCTACACTGTTGCCCATTTCATATACATTGCAAACATCTGAAACCATTTCTGTTTCCATTTCCGAATTTTCTCGCTCATCTTTCTCCAATTTGGCACGACGGGCAAGTACTCTCTTGCTCCTCTCATCAACACCATAACTCCACTTTGACTTGGTCCAAGGGAAGATGGAAGGGACTGCATCAGGTTTTCTCTGCCTTCTTAGTGGTTCAGTGCCTATCAAGTTATCAAAAATATTTTATTGTTTACTACATAATGAAAATGTTTTGAAGAAAAAAAAACATGAAATATCAGGAGATGTTTAAAAATTTTAGTCCAAAATGTATAAAATCTAATAAAAGATATATGTGTTATAAGGCTTATCATATCCAGTGGTGACTTCCTAATCCACTTGTCAGGAACTTCCAAAAGAGCATGGCTGTAGAATGACTTTATTTGCTCACCACATCTTGATGAATTATGACATAACAAAATAACCATGAAATAGCAAACTTGGTATTTTTCAAAATATATTTCACAAGTTTGACCACTCCATTGCATATTTTGATAATATCAAACTGTTTAATATTAGGATACTGCGCTGGTAATGGAAAAGAAAAGCACTTGTCAACATGAAAAAATAAATGGAGATAATTCGTAATAAATCATGCAAATGTAAAAATGATAAACTGTGAATCATTGAAATTCTTTACGTCATATCAGCTGTTTCAGTGTCAACTATGAACATGTGTAACAGAAGTAAATATTATGAACATGTGTAACAGAAGTAAATATTATTGTATGTATATTTGCATTATATTTATAAAGGTTTACGACTTATATAAAAGCATCATCTCTATGGCCAAATTCTCAGTCTGATTTGTCATTTAATAAAAAAAAGTTTCAATGAAGTCTGATTTTTCGCTGTATTAATATAGCAGATATAGATACAAGTAAAATTTTCATGCGTATCCGTCGCGTTATTAAACAGCTGTTATGAACTATAAACAAATCATGTTGTAAGACAAAATATAATTAAGCAACTAAAAATGAAGCCAAATAATCTTACTAACCGTGCTGTGTTTCGGAGGTGAAGTCTTCCTCACGAAAGTGTTTGTGACACACAACACTGAATGGCTGTGGCGTCCAATGTTTATATGTAATATCTTCATCGTTTCGTCGAATGGCTCGAATCCAAAGCTTTCTTATCCTTTCTTCCCTTGGAAAGCTTAATCCTCCCCTGGTGGAACAACCAGGCACACAACAGCAAGTGGGCATTTGATGGTTATTATGACTACTCTGATGTTATCGAAATCGAAGCGAAACCGGAAGTAACTATGAACCGAAACGTGTCGTGCGCCACCTATATCATCGTAAGGGGCAAGAACTGACAAATATTTGCAATTACCATAACAAATTACATGTCATAACATAAATTTCACTTCTCTTTGAAGTAATACAACCTAGAAAATGTGTTCACATTTGAGTATTGGCTGAAACAAATAAATCAAATTCAAACTCCAAAATGACTAGAAACAATTGCTTTAAAAAATGCAAAACAAGCAAACAAGCGGCTCATGCAGAGGCCACATCCCTCACATGAGGAACATTGGTCAACTGACAAGTATAATCCAAGCAGCTTTAAAAAGCGAAATACAAACATATCTGTAAAATTTAGCAGACCATATTTTGTTTAAATTTTTTTTTTAAAGTCCACACAGATTTAAAATTAAAATTGAACACATATTTTGAAATATTTTGTGTTTCTAATACATGTACTTATACCCCCACCCCTCTCCTACCCCATGGGATCATGATTTGGATGAGAACTTGAATCAACATTAACTGAGGATGCTTCCACATAAGTTTAAACTTTACTTGTCAAATGGTTTTAGATAAAAAAAAATAATAAAAATAAACTTAAATCTCTTTGGCATAAGAGGGTTTTGTGCCACATTTGGTTGAAATGGTTCTGGGGAAGAAGTAAAAAAGGTTAAAAGTTTACAGGCAGACAGACCAATGGCAGACAAAATGTTATGCTCAATGGTGCTAAAAACTAAATATGCAACATCCTTGCAAAAATACATATCGATCTGTTCAACAACTCAGTTCCAAAAAAAAAATACCAGATGTTTGCAAATTATTATTAATGAATCACAATACACATTATTCAAAACCCCGCAATAAAGAGATCTAATGACAAAATTCACATTTTCATAAAATCTTGACCTTACATGTATTTCATATTTTAAGAGAAAGTTATTCTATCAAAGTGTTAACCCGGTTGGTTCTGCTATGTAATGCGCTTAATGACTTAAACGTTACATTAGTCCAAAATATGCATTTGAAAATGCATAATCATAATATGAGAACAGATTCTCTTCTGGTGGGAGTGGAATTTCAGCAGATGGCCTGGGTATATTCAGGGTGTTGGTACAAGTGCTTGCAGTTGGAATGAAAGATGTGCTAGGTGTGCTTTCAACAAATTCAATGGATGGATGCAGGACAAATCCAAGAACAGGTTCTTCATTCGCTCCAGTAGCAAACTGCAAAACATCCCTGAGACTAACAGTTCCCCTTCTACCACCTACAAAACAGTTTCCAAAGAAAATGAATTAAAATATTTCTGTATAAAACATTCAAAAATACAGTTTGTGAGGAAGCATTATGGTATACATACTTTTGTTGCTAACTGAGAATTAATACTGTGTTTTTTAAATCTTCAACAATATTCTCAATTTCTCATATTTAGTCCTTTATACACACATTGCACATAGCGTACTACTGAGCATACTGTTTTAAAACCAACTCATTCATTCAGTGTCAGAGTTTCTGTGTCCATAGAAATTGTTGGATATGATATAGAGTCCCTGCTATAGTTAAAATGAGATACATGTACACAAACTCCCACCGAAACTTGAATTTCATTTTGTAATTAAGGAGTAAAATTGAAGAAAAAAAAAAAAAAAAAAAAAGTATTATCAAAACAAACAAGAGGTCAGTGAGTGAATGTTCACTAGTAATACCCCTGCTCTGTTGTGAATATATCCTCTTGTGTTGACATTGAATTTATACAGAAATGAATCTCACCTAATGACTTGCCCAAGTTGGGATTCGAACAAAAATGAATCCCACCATATGGCAAACCAAAACAAAGAGTGTGCTAGAATTTCAATCATCTACGGTGAGTAGTTGCCAAGAAAACTGACAAAAATTTGTTAGGGACAGACACACGGACATACAGACAGACACCCAAGGGCAAAACAGTATATCTTCCTCTCGTTCAGAACGGGGTATAAATATTGTAAATATCTTTATAGATATGTAAAACATTTAAACCTAACAAAAAGCAACTTCTGATATTAATTTGTACATAAAATATCTACAAACAAAAAGACAGAGTAAATGACCTGCGTCTAGGATTTGAAGGATGGAAGGAATTAAAAACATACTTGCAACTGCTCTTAAATACTTCAGAAATACTGTATATACTGCACTCTCATATCTTTTATTGTTTGATCCCTCCTCTGAAAATTTTGGTCGCAAAAGCTGTATCAAAGCTTTGATTGTGAGTGTACAACAGCTTGGACGAAATAGATGCCGGAACATTGGCAAAACACTGCCAACCTACAATTTATCATGTGTAAATAAACATATAATTACCAAACTTTTTTTTTTTGTTTACAAAATTAACGTATAACGTATATGAGATTTAACTGATAGTGTAGTCAACAGATTCCAGTCAATTTGTCATTTTTACCTTGATCAGACCAAGGCAATCTAGACCTTTCTTTAAATTGTGAACACATGCTGATTCAAAGTCTTCAGAATTACTGTTTAAAAAAAGCCTGTTTAGAATGTTTTCATCAAGAAATTTTGGCACAGGTCCATTCTGCAGTATACTTAAACCTGGAAATATAAAGAAATTTACATATATATATAAAACTCATATGCCTGTTTCCCAATCATATTAATCTAATTAATGTTGGTGTTAATCAATGAACAACACTTTAAACAAGCAACATACACTGACTATCAAATACCAAAACTCACTATAGCTAGTATATACATGTATTACTATCAGCACAGAATCTGCCTTTATATGCATTTAAAAAAATAAATGTATTTACAGTTAATCTGTTATACAGGAGTGAATATTTGCTTTAATGGCCATCACATGATTAAAAATACACCAGGTGTAAATTTACTTATATGTTCATTTTATTTACCCCCCCCCCCCCTCCAACCCCTAGAAAAAAGGAATGTTCACAAGAGCCAAAATACACCAAGATACAAAACTTGGGTATGTCAGAGCAAGGTTTAAATTAATGGACACATTTATGTATGGTAACCAGGCTAAACATGGGCAAATTAGTGCATGGAAAATTTCATTTTAAAAGTTGATCAATATCAATACAAATAACATGTTAAGCAGTTCAATATATCTCAGTGAGATAGGGACAAAATTTGTATGAAAGACATTGACTTTTACCACTGATTAATAGTGAAAAATGACATCTCTAATCATTTTTCTTTCAAATACAGACAAGAATTAGAAAGACAGCCAAAATCATTATGTTTCACAGTACGAGGGATAAAAACAGAATGAAATATCTTTACACATTTAATATCAATACTAATACCATTCAGTATTTTCAATTTGTGATCCATTATAAAATGTGTACATCTCAAGTACTAATTTAGGCAATATTACATGTATTTCGATATCACTATTTTTTTTTTTTTTTTTTTTTTTTTTTTTTGATAATTCATTTATCATGTTTTATATACCCACCTATGATTTTTCCAATAACAGTATAATCAGCATGCATATAATCCCGCAGTCCTTTGTCAAAATATTTTTCTTTTATTGCTGATAAAATCAGCGAGAAAAACTCTTTTCTCGGGCCTCCTTGATCAATGGCTGTCTGCAAAAAGGGGGAAAACAGATTTTTTTTTTTTATTTGTCAACTTTGCTTAAAAGTGTTACAAACTATACATGTCAAAAAAAAAAAAATAAATTACTGTTTTAGACATAAATTAAATTTATTTCAATCATTGGAAAGAGCATACATACGAGGACACTGTTTTATACACAATTAAATTTACCTCAATACCTGGTATTCAAATTATTGGACAGTGCATGTATACATGTAAGAATAGATATTTTGAAATGAAGTTTATAATACAATTTTTTTTCATTTACCTCATCATAAAATTGCACTTCAAGTGTCTTCCGTAGATTTTCTATGGAACTGACTTCCTCGAATCCTGTCTCTAATATGTTATTTCTGTCTACTATGATAAAATTTGTTTCTCCTTCATCACATTGTGTTGTGTCTGTGATTTCCAATTGTCTGCCACAAACAATAACAGACTGTAAATATCTCAGAATTTCTACAGGGTCCTGGATGTTTTCGGAAATACAAAAATCTATGGCTTTGGCTATGACAAAGTCCATGGGTCCTCCACAAGTATCAGATGTGGTTCCTTCACTATCATTTTCAGCAGTGGTGATATTTTCAATGACTGTCTCTTTTGATTCAGTTTGAACAGCACTCCCATCAACAGATAAATTACAAGAACTGGTATCCTCAGGAATGGTCAAAAGGCCAGGTCTTAATTGTTCAGGACAATCTGTACTCATATCATTGACAAAATCCTTAACTCGAAGAAAAGTTTTCTGATCTAGCACTTCTTTAAAGTCACATTTTTTATTGGGAAAATCTTGTGTCAGGTGTGGGTCAGGTAATTCATCCTCACTATCACTAATTAGATTTGCCCGGCTTTCACACGTATGTAAATGTTCTCTAAGTTCTCGAACACTAAGCATTTTCCTGCAGTGACGACAGTTGACTTTTGAGTGTTCCTGCTCGTTATGTTCATTTACTAGATCTGTCGACAAGCTTCTTTGAATCGGTCTTACATAAATTTTTGCTTGATTTCCCAAAAAAGTCTTTAAAGTCCTTGCATTCCATTCACAGTCAACTACTTTTAACTCGCGACAATTCTGTCTGCATTTTAAAAGCTCTAACCCTCCGCAAGTCTGTAACTGAGGAAATCCTAAACACATATTTTTATTCTCAGATTTTTCATCTATGGCATCTGAAGAGATTTTTTCCATTGCCTCAGATTCAGTGTCATTGAGTGAAAGGCAGATTTTTTTCGGTCCCAGACCTGCCTTGAAGTTTATTTCCTTTTGCAACGCAGTTGGAATAGTATTTGTATCTTTGTCTGGTAAACATACAACTGTAACAGTCCAATTTCTATTAACTTTTCCACGCACCTTTTTATTGGATGTGAATATCTTGTCCGTATTTCTTGACCTTTTACCTTTGCCTTTACCACCCATAAAAAGGGCCTCCCTTTGAGACTTTATTAAATCAGCTAAATCAGTAGATTTTTCCCTCTGACTTTCCCTTACTTTCTCTTCAAGTCGAATCCTATCACCTAAGGTATTTACGCCTAATCGAATAACCTGCTCTTCGCTTAGACTCAAGTAATTGGTTACTTCAATTTTCTCCGTTTCAAAGTTCGGGATTAAGTTACTTAGCTTTAATTCTTGCAATATTCCATTCATCGTGTTTGTTGATAAACTTGATTGCGCCATTTTGTTGTAAATACGTCCGGTTGAGGTCAAGTCGTACACAGTTCATCTCGTTCGCTTATAAATATACTTATTATGCTAGAAAAAAGAGGAACTAACAAAGGTGTATTAAAATAATTTTAATTACATAGATTATTTGTTTTACTTTCAAAATTTCGATATAATAGCTGTTAAACTCAGTCTTTAAAAATATGAGAAGTTCCGAGTGACCACCTTCACATAGAATTAAAAAAACAGCTTCACATGAAATAACCACAGCATAGCATAAAAAACTACCTTCACATAAAAAACCACCTTCACATGAAAAACCACCTTCACACGAAAAACCACCTTCACATGAAAAACCACCTTCACACGAAAAACCACCTTCACATAAAAAACCACCTTCACATGAAAAACCACCTTCACATAAAAAACCACCTTCACATGAAATAACCACAGCATAACATAATAAAGCACCATCTTCACATGAAATAACCACAGCATAACATAATAAAGCACCATCTTCACATGAAATAACCACAACATAACATAATAAAGCACCATCTTCACATGAAATAACCACAGCATAACATAATAAAGCACCATCTTCACATGAAATAACCACAGCATAACATAATAAAGCATCATCTTCACATGAAATAACCACAGCATAACATAAAAAAGCACCATCTTCACATGAAATAACCACAGCATAATATAACAAGAGGCCCAAGGGCCTTAACGGTCACCTGAGTATAATACAACAAGTTAGAAGTTAAATACACTGACAGATGAAGCTTTTTTGCCCTAAAGCAAGAGAAGTAGGAAGATCAGGATCAACAAAATAATTAGTCTAGTATTCAGTATCAACTCATAAATTAAGTTCTACTCTGTGCTCCACTTAACACTATCACCATGCAGACTATTAACAAACTATTAGTGCTTCTGTACTTTTTTTAAACCCATATTAAGACCTCTAGCATTGACCTCTCTTATGGTCTTTGAAGAACTTTTAATAAGATAAGTTATTTTTGTCTCATTTTTATTTATCTATTACTTACAGGTCTACCTGATTATTAAAACTAAGAAAATACTTTTTGAATTATATGATAAACATTCTTGCATAATTATTTTATTCTATTTACCTTTCAAATACATTATTTACAGTGATTAATTATCAAAAGTGAACGGAAAAGGTTGATAACTTCTCTCAGTAGAATACAAATTAATAGAGCCCTGCCCAGGACTAGAATGCTTAGACAAATGGTCCAGATGTTCAAAAATCTGGTAGAAATACGCTTAATTATATCATTTAAACTTTTACTCAGTTTTCTTCCAATATGCCCAGAAGCAGAGAAGAATTTCACAGGTACAATGCATTTTCACTACAGATTCAACAAAGCCTTACCCTAACACCAGAACCCAAGACCAAGGGTCAAGAAATTTACAGATTTGGAAGAGTTACCCTCATCATCATAACTATGGACTTCGAAGAATTAACACTTTTCCACTATATTATCAAAAGCCCCCCCCCCCCCTCGTTATGCCAGAACCACTGACCCTAGGACCACAAGATTTAAAAATTCTGTTCGAAGCTCCCATTTTCATCATAGCTAAGCAATTTATTTATCAGCTCAATGCTAAGGAGCAGACAGGATTAATTAATGATTAATTAATAGAATTAATGCTTTTTCACTATATAATCAATATATAAGAGCCCCAAAAACTGAAGCCACATATTTAAACATTTTGGAAGAAGCATCCTTGCCTATCATAATCACGCACTTAGTTTGTTTAAATAATCTCCAGTAGCAGAGAAGATTTTTAAAGAATCAATGCATTTTCACTATATAATCAATAGAGCCCCGCCCTAACACCAGAACCCCTGACCCTGGGGTCATGAATTTCACAATTTTGGAAGAGGTACTCTTGCTCTTCATAACTATGTACTTAGTTACTTTATTTAATACCCAGGAGCAGAGAAGAAGATTTTCAAAGAAATAATGTACTTTCACTATATGATCTATATAGCCCCACCCTGGGGCCAGAACCCCTGACCCAGGGGCCTTGAATTTCACAATTTCTGAAGAGGACTTCTTGCTCATCATAACTATGTACTTAGTTACTTTTTTTAATACCCAGGAGCAGAGAAAAAGATTTTCAAAGAATTAATGCATTTTCACTATATAATCAATAGAGCCCCGCCCTAACACCAGAACCCCTGACCCTGGGGTCATGATTTTCACAATTTTGGAAGAGGCACTCTTGCTCTTCATAACTATGTACTAAGTTACTTTATTTAATACCCAGGAGCAGAGAAGAAGATTTTCAAAGAAATAATGCACTTTCACTATATGATCTATATAGCCCCACCCTGGGGCTAGAACCCTGACCCTGGGGCCATGAATTTCACAATTTTGGTAGAGGGCTCAATGCTTGTTACAATGATGCCACCAGTTTGACTGCTCGATGTCCTGGAGTAAAGAAGAAAATTTTTTAAGGATTGCATTATTTTTGGTGGTTTTAGCCCCACCCCTCAGGCCCCAGGGGGGCAGGGACCATGAAATTCACAATTTTTGCTCCCCTTCACCCATAGATGCTATATGCCAACTTTGGTTGAAATTGGTTGAGCGGGGTCAGAGAAGAAGCTAAAATCCTCATGCAGCACACATTACATGTATATATATATATATATATATATATATATATATATATATATATATATATATATATATATATATATATATATATATATATATATATATATATATATATATATATATATATATATATATGCATCATCGCGTGACCGTCCGATAAAGTGACAAAACAAAATTCAGTACAGGGTAGGGTATACTATAATTTCAATTAATATTAATGTCATGTGATAATATGATAGCTTTAGAAAAATAAATTCAGTTTAAAATGGTATTTATTTGTGCACGTATATTTTCTGTTGATTTCTTCACTCGTTCATTCTATCAAAAAGTTTATTCAACATTTTCCATGGAACAGGTCACCAATTTTTAAAATGATAAATATAGATGGCACAACTACAGTTAGTAATCATTATTTGTGAAGTTTGAAAAAGATTGTCCAAGCCGTCTGCGAGAACTTTCGTGGAAAAAAAATTGTCACTTTTATTTTTTTTTTTCCATGGCAACGATGGTAATTTTAAAATGTTTCATGCACATCTAGAGTTTTGATCATCAATTTCGAAACATTTCCTTAAGATTGTCTACGTCATTTCCGAGAAAATACTCGGACAAAGTAAGATGTCGAACAATGACAACATGTCGTCCCGACTAACCTTCGGGGCGACATAATAATGTGTTGTTTTTAATCTAATATTGGTATCGGTATCGATAAATGTTAAGAAATGAAGCCTGATCACTTATGTTTGTGATTCATGTGAAACTCATGTGAGGAAGGTAAAATATCGCATTGATCAAACAGAAAAAAGGCATTTGTAAACGTCAATATTTGATTGTGTCGGTCAAATTGAAGATGAAGATAAAATATCAACCATCTAGATACATGAATCAACCAGTCCCGTGTCACTCTCTTCAAACGGCTCATACCTTAAATCTGTCGCTGGCACGCGCACATCACAGTGATAAGCATGAGAAATAATGCGTATGTTTCATTCATTAAAATTATCTGCTCTAATATGGTCCTTTAAGGTAGAAATTTACTAAGAAGATCTAAAATAATCAGTTTACTTCGAAATGACCCCTGGGATATCATCTACATTACTTTGTATTAAAATCTTGAAGCAAGCCCTTTGCAGAGGTGTCTGAGATTGGCAAAAATGACAACTGCAAGGGTGATTGGTACCGTGTGTGTTTTATTGTTCTGCAATATCCATTTTATTAGAAATAAATATACCACAATATTACAAAGAAGTGAACATTCCTCAATTCCATAGCTAAAATCTCATACAGAAAACAAATTTAAAGAAATAATGTTTTGGCATACAAATCTACAAAAGGTGAATTGTTTTGCAGAGTTGAAAATGAGAGCATCACCACCTGAATAAAAACGAAAAAAATAATTAACAGTGATCAGTAGTCAAATTTTAAAGTCCCATAAACAATGTAAATAGAAATCAAGGCAAATTTCGATCAAACAATAAACTATATTTGCAAATAATGTCGTTAAGAATGTCATATATCTTGCAAATGCTGAAGTTAAACAAAATATCAAAAGCTTTAGCTTAAAAATTAATAGCTCATACATGAACCTCAAACCAATTCTGCTGGGAATCATGTACACCATGTACAGTAATAATGGAATATCATTCAGAAAATTCAAAAAAGGTGGTTATAGATGAACATAAGAAACATATTATGAACATTAAGGACATTTTCTCTTCAACTATAACTTACAATAGCTTTAAACCCCAGCATCCTTATGACAGTTATTAATGATTAAACATATTATACAACTTGGTTCAAAACTTTTCAAAAGAAATATTAAGAATGTTATGAACCATATTCAATTTAAGCTTCTTTCTTAATTAATAAAATTAATCCCAGACTTTTTAATAAGCTAAAACCTCATTCACTCTTCTAGAATTGAAAGGTATAGAACTATTTTCTCCCTAGAGTCCGAATTCCACCAGGAAGTAGTTCGATTCCAATGAAACACACAGTAGACAAAACCTAGTATCAGAATTCTATTTCTTTTTGTTTCAAGCCCATGTACATTGAGCTAGTATTCTCTTATTTAGTTACAAATACAGACCAATAGAGCTACAGTCTAGTAAGAGATATTTTGATATGATATACATGTAATGGTGAATTTTAAATATTCCTAAGTCACATCATATAATTCGACAATCGCTGACCTATTAAGAATTTGTCAAATATATTAAGTAATGTAACTTATGTTAAATCAGCATGGATTGAAAAGGCACCGAAGTGTGCATCGGAACCTTCCCCCTTCCCCCTTATTAAAAAGGAATAGTAATAGTCTATAATTTGTCAAAAATGTGACATTTCCCTGTCAATCACATTCATTTATCGTTCTATGTAAGCACATTGTACTTTTTTCTCACGGTTAAAGATTGGTCATGCACGGTACCGTACATAGCTAAACTCAATCTTTACCATTGGCTCATACCATTCACCTCTGTCGATGGCTCGCGTATATAACAGTGATAAGCACAAGAAATTAGTGCGTTTGCTTAAATTCATTATGATTAAATTCCTGCACTATTGTTTGTCTTTTAAGGTACACTTAGATATTTACTAAGAAGATCTAGAAGTATTTATTAAATTTGAAATAATCCTTGGAATATCATGTTTTTACCTTATGTCAAGAATTTGACATGAGCCCATTGCAGAGGTGTCTGAGGGAGGAAGAAACGATAACTTTACAAGGGAGATCGAGTTTATCTCTAAACGTGAGAAAAAGTACAACATGCAAACACAGAACGAAATATTGATGTGTTTAAGAAGGGAATCTCATATTTTTGAGAAATTATAGGTTCTTACTAATTTTTTTCATTAAGGTGTGTGTATGTATGGGAGGGGAGGGGGCGGGGGGTTATCCACACTTAGAAATGTATATGACGACCGATGTGGCATCATAAACAATTCTTATGTTGAATATTCATTCATAATGTAAATTCCTTAACTATATATATTCCAATAGTAAAACTTAAATACATGTACGAGATAACCGTCCTTTGTAAACTTATTTGTAACGGGTTTCGAGGATACTTGCAATAAGCAACTCTCTTGTTGATACATACATGTATTTTCACAGTTATTCTTTTGCTTAATCTTTGTTTTCTCTTTTTAAGATCTCTGGTCCGGCGCTAGCTGACTGGATGCATCCTCATTATAGCTTTAGTATGTCATATTTTGTGTAACACTAATTTATTTTTATCTAACTTTAAAATTTGTAAATCTTAGATATTTAAAAATTTGGAATAAGATTTGAACTTATCTTTTTAATAATATATGTATATATTTGCATTATAATTCAAGGATGCCGCGAGAGTGGAGGTATAGATGTTTTTGGAATTCATGATGGCAGCATAGTGACTATTTTGAATGGTACTTGCAAGGACAACACTACTTCACCAAAAGGAGGACTAATAGAGATTCCTTATAGTTGCACTTATGCAACTGATGAGGTATGGTTAATATGCATGCTTTAATTTCATTGATTTTTTTTTTCAATTATTTATGGGAGGGAAGGGTCTTCTACCTTAATCAAGCTTTGCATATTGAAATCATGAATACATAATTAACCTAGATAAGATAAGATAAGATAAAATTTATTTAAAGTCGGGTAAATCAAACAGAAAATATTAGCTCTGAAGAGCTATTTTTCGACTGCATAATAATATCACATATAATACAACAACACAGAATAAACAAGAAAAAGTACTTAAAATCACACTACTAAAATATCAGTATAGCTCGTGATGCATTACAATGATATATGACATAGTATTCATCACAATAAGACCAACAAACTGAAAACCATGTTTACTATTATCTAAAAATAAAATTTAGCGACAAGCACAGCAATTGCAACTATTTCCGTACCAACTACTTATGTTTGATTTGAATTGGTTAAAAGTAGTAATATTTCTAAAAGATTCTGATAAAGAATTCCAAAGATTTCGGATTCATATGTAAGAGATTTCAAACCTTATGTTGTTGATCTTGTTTTTGGTAAAACAGCCGTTTTCGTATATCTAAAAGAATATGGCTTTTCTTTAATATGGATAAAATCGTGCAGGTAAGATGAGCTTTGTTTGTTTGAAATCTTTAAACTTTCTATGGCCATTGTTCTAATACGTACGCCGGAGTTTGAGGCATGGCAATTTCGATTTATCCAGAAGATAACTATACGAGTTTCTGTAGTCGTCATAGACGAAACGCAATGCTCTTTCCTGTATTTTTTCCCCATTTTTTTTGTTTCTCGTTCACCACAAAAATGTCAAACTAATGAACAATAATTGAACTTTGACATGATAAATGTATGATAAATTGTTAGATTTTCCTAGTTTAGTCAGGTGAACCCCTATTCCTTTAAGTACATTCAGTTGTTGTGAAGCTTTCTTACAAATGTTTGAAATATATAAGTCAAACTTAACCTCAAAATCTATAGTCACGCTAATTAATTTTACTTCGTTTTCCGGATTAATCTTATTACCATCAATTTCAGAACAAATGTTTTCCTGTTTTGTTTTCTTTCCGAGACATATAGCTTGGAATTTATCAGGATTGGCTTGCATTTGGTTATCTTTAAACCACTTAACTAGGGTTGAACAATTAGCTTCTAATGTATTTTTAGTGAGATAATATCGTCGCTCGAGTTTGAGAGAGTGTTATCATCGGCATAGTTTTAAAGGTCGCAATCTGATACAAAATGAAAAATATCATTGATAAAAATATTAAAAATAACAGGACCAAGTATTGAACGCTGTGGAACACCTTTGTACAATTCTATAAAATCGCTACAAACATTTCCCAGTTTCACACATTGTTATCGATTGCTTAAATAGCTTGATATTAGACGTGTAGCTGCATTTGTAAAATCACATGTATTTAATTTTGCTAAAACTAGATCATGTGGAATACACTCAAAGGCTTTCGATAAATCCATCATAATTGCTGCAGTATATTTCTTATGATCAAGAGCAAAGTTCCAATTTTCAACAATTTTAAGCAATACACTCTGATAACCATACCCTGGTCTAAAAGCTGATAACATATCATTAAAATGGCAGTTAAAAAAAATCAGATAATTGACTATGAATGACCCTTTCAAAAATCTTTGTCAATGTAGGTAAGATACTAACGGGTCTGTAGTTTCCTTTTTCCAAAATTCTATTTTTCTTGTGAAGAGGAACCACTTGTGGTATTTTTATACAATCTGGAAAAACATGAGATAAACAAAAATTTGCAATATAAGTCACAGGGTTCAAAATATGTTCATGGCTAAGTTTAACAATTCTAGCCGAATACCATCAATTCCAGTAGCCTTTTTTAAGCCCAATTTGTTTATGCATTTACTTACAAAATCGTTGTCTACAGGACGAAAAGAAAATGATTTAATTAACATCATCCTTATCTTTGATACTCTCACAGGATGTTCACTATTTACATCAACACAATCTATTCCAATATTCTTTGCAACATTAACAAAAAAGTTGTTGAAGATATTGCATACTTGAACTTGATCAGACACAATACTTTCATTTTCAGACAGTATAATATTTTTCTGACATTTGTACCTTTGTTGGTCAAAAATGGTTTCATTATTGGCCAAAAATCTTTACTTTTTGGTCCACCTGCACACTGTTCAATAAAGTATTGGTTGATAGATTGAGGTTTCATTTTGGTGACATATTTTCTTTGTTTTCTAAAACTTTCCCAATTGCTGAGATTTGTTGAAAATATATAAATTATGCAGTTGTAGTTTCTTAAAAATTGCGGCTTTCAACCTTTTATTCATAAAGGGGCTGCTTTTCCCAGTATTTTTCTCTTTTTCGTTGGAATGTGCTTGTCGATTACTCTAGTTAGATCATTGTGAAAATTATTAAAAGCAGTGTTTGGGTCACCTTGTAAAACACCAGGGAAAGATTCTTCAATAGATCTTAAATCTTCCATATATGAATCTAAATTTAAGCTCTTGAAGCTTCTGTAATTTCTGTATTCAGGAAATGTTAACATGGTTTCCATTTTTAACTGTATTGCAATAATGTTGTGAACATCACTTATTCCAGAATTGAAATTAAAATGATTTGCTATAATGTTGGTATTATTCGTTAAAACAACATCAATCTGGGACGCATTGCCTTGTTTTTACCTTTTATAACATTTTCTAAATCAAATATATCACAGATATCCAGTAAAGGTTTACATTTGTTACTATCTGCTTTATCAAAATTCAAATCTCCCAGCATAAAAAAGTATCATATTTGATAGAAATTATGTCGAGTGCTGATAAAGAATCATTTACAAATCTCAGCCTCAAAAACCTCAAAAGGAAAAGTAATTCTTCAAATGCAAGTCCATTTTTCTTACCATTGTTTGAAACAAATTATCAAAAAATTAAAAGAAAGAAATGGCTTTGTTCCGCGTGAATAAGATTGACCTTTGTTTCCTGATTTATTCTTAAACGTTTTCGACAATCTTCCTTATAGAGTTGTCGTACGTTTCTCTCTCAGACACCTCTGCAACAGGCTCGCTTTAAGATTTTTGCTATCAAGTAAAAAAAAAAACAACATAATATTCCAAGGATTGTTTTATATTCGATTAATAGTTCTAGGTCTATTTAGTAAATATCCACCTTAAGGACATTGGCAAGGTTCCTGGTTATTGTATAGAATTTTTCAAGAACTTTTGAGTAGGTTTAAATGTACAAAACAGGCTATATTCTGGATTGTTTTACCTACCAATCCAACATTCTTTTTTAAATTTTGTCAAATTAGTGTTTTTACAATTCTTAATGAATTTCCTATGTAAAATGTTGATAAAAGGGACCTACATAATTTTTTACCATAATATTTCTTCAAAACCCATTTATTTCGTACAGTTTTTGTATTATATACATTATTGTATCTTCATTTCCTATGACTTCTAGATATTTTGACTGAAAATATATATATAGAAACAAGACATTGATATACCGGCATCGATCATCATTTTTGAGTTGCGTCCCTTAACAGCTAAACTTGGTCTCGAGACTGGTTTATTGTTTTTATCATGTAATTGACTGAAATGATTGAAACACATTGTCACAAAAATATTGGCATGGATTTATTTTTTACTTTTATTCGTAGTTACTAAATGCTGATACCTTCACACGACCTAAGAACTGTTCTCAGTCGGCATGGTCGACCTACCTTTCAGCATATGTCACATCTTTTACCTTCCCAGCATACTGAGCATAACTATGGTAAATGACGACCTGTTGGCTCTTTGTCCCTAAATACAATGTACAACAAAGCCATTTCTACTTTTCTTTCTTGCTGTATACAGGTATAGATGATTCTACCCGTTGAAGGAAGTACACGTGCTTTTGTTTACCTCTGTAACATATGTTTCATTGGTTTTCACCGCTTAGAGAATTCTACACGGGAGATCACTCTCAATCACTATTTTATAAGTGAAAAAACCCATGTATTAAACCTTTTTTCTCCGGAAAACCCTGACTTGCCAATGTCCTTAAAGGACAAAATTAGAGCAGACGTTTAATTCTTACGAATTTCTCGTGCTAAACACTGTATTATATGCGAGGCAACTACAGAGGTGAATGTATGAGTCCATTGTAGAGAGTGCGTTTTCGAGATTAATTTTCTATGGAGACTTGTTACATCTTCATGCTATATGTAGATGAATTTTTTGTGTAACCAAGTTCTACATGGGTGATGATCATGTTTACAAAAAATCAAGTTCGGGAATATTTGCGAAATTCTGAAAATGGAAAAAAAATATTTTCAGCAACCCTTCGTCATAAAAGATCAGTAAAATTTTTCCAAGCAAATGAATCAATGTGTTACAATTGACATTACTTAACTTTAAAAATTTAGAAAAATCAAATGTCTTCTTTCAGAACAATTTAAAATGGCTGAAAGTATATTAAAACTACTGATGCATTTAATATTCATTTATTGTTTGGAATTTATTTATTAATTTTAATTTATTTTTATTTATTTTTGGGGCATCATAGGGAACAGAAACTGCGTATGAAGTATTTATAAGTGTAAAAGATCCTGTGTTTGGTGAAACTACTAAAACCTCGGTCATTACACTTGCTTCAATCTCTAATGGTACGGGGACCTCTTCCACGACAACTTCGAAAACCACGCAAGAGGCTACCACGGAGGCAGCAATAATTGGAGGACACAAAGAGCATAAATTTGTAATTAAATGTCTAAGCATCCCAAGTGATGGAGTTAATAAGACTGTTGCACATGTTTTTCAGGGAGGGTACGTATAATTTAGTTTAGAATAATTCCATTTAACTATGTTGTGTAATCATTTATTTTGCTAAACAATATGGTCTTACGATATTCTATTGGAGAATGAAATGAAACGAAACCAATTTTTCTGCTATTATTATACCCGACTCTTTTTTGCCATTCGATTGTTGACTGTTGTTTTAGTTCCAATTCGAGAATGTTTCTCATTCACTATATGCCACTGAAGGGCCTCAAATTTACTTTTTCTTTGCTCTTAGGGCCATTGATCATTGAGGTATGACCGGTAGAAATACACAAGTCGATACTTCGTTTAATAATTTATTAACGATCCAAAACTTCGTGTTTTCTACACGATCTGGATGTCGGTGTGGACAGTGCTAAGTCCAATTTCCAAATGAAGATCTTGTATTAAACTACCAGTTTATAAGAACAATGCAAAAAGTAATCACAAATCCGAGTAACTTTAGGCACAAGGACATAATTGACATAATTGATATAATAGAATAATAATTAACATGTTAACTCAGGTATACAGGTGGCATCAAATATCTTGCGGTCAAGGTCTATAATTATTTCATTATTAGCACTGTAGCAAAGAAAATGTCACTCTAAAATCTGTTCATTTCACACGGTCACATTACCCCTTTGCTCCCCGAAACACGTCCTCATGTTTCCAAGTTTGCCTCTTGTTGTCAGGCATACTTCTGACAATTTTGAAATCCTTGGATACTGTTTCCTGGCTCCGCGGGGCTGTCCACTGTAGACTGCTTTCCTTGAGGAATGAAATTCTTTGTTTTTCAGGAGTGAATTAATCTGTTCCTTTTTCTTTTTGGCGTCATTCTGAAAGTCAGTTATCACCTTTTTCGATTCCTCAAGGTTCTTTTCTACAGTTGCTCACACATCCATTTGATTTTATAAAATCGAACATCTGATTTGTAGGATGCCACCTGTTCCCGGAACTTTTCATCTTGGGTTTGCAATGTTTCAGAATGAATTTCAATCACACTTACTGAAGAGAAGGGCATTTCACTTAAACATGTTTTTTTTTTTTCTTTACGGGTTGTCCGAAATTTGATGACGCTCTCTCTGTCTCTTTTCTTCGCACCGTACAAGTTTCGTCCGTCTGTGTTTCGATGGATTGTGTCGGTATAGAAGAGACAGCGCAGATGGTTTGGGGATTCCGTGTTCTACACATCCGTGCATAGTGTCCTCTTCTTCCACACTTGAAACATGTTGACCAACTTGCGTTGCAAACGGTCCATACGTGCCTTAATCCGCAGCGTCCACATTGTTGCAAGGTGAAGCGCAGTTGGACTGGTCCCATCCAAGCAGGAACAATTAGAAAAATACCCATGCTTTAGGAATTCTGGTATGAAGGATCGTAAACTCGCTTGGCTGTATGTGGTACTAGGATCTAACTACTACAAAATACATGCAGTAGCCCTGGATAAATTACCCTTAGGATTCTCCATCCTTAAGATTCCGACGCCTGTCATAAATATTTTATTCTGACCGTATTTGTCTTGTCTTTTCTTGGGTTTTATCTATCTCTTATGCATCCAAACTTATTCAATTTTAAAATGAAAAATATAATTATTATTATTATTATCATAATTATTATCATAACAAAGTTGTTTTTTATTTCAATAAATCCTTTTAATTATTTTAATTAAAGATTTAAATTTATTCAATTAGATTAATTGTTTATGTCAGGTGGAATTGTTTTAGCTCACCTGAGCTGAAAGCTCAAGTGGGCTTTTCAGATAACATTTTGTCCGGCGTCCTTCTGTCTGTAAACTTTTCACATTTTCGACCTCTTCTCAAGAACCACTGGGCCAATTTCAACCAAACTTGCCACAAAGTATCCTTGGGTAAAGGGGATTCAAGTTTGTTCAATTGAAGGGCCACGCCCTCTTTCAAGGGGAGATAATTAGGAATCAGTAAAAAATAATGGCATCATTTAAAAATCTTCTTCTCAAGAACCATAGGGCCAGGAAAGATGAAACTCTTGTGGAAGCATTTTCAGGTAGTGTAGATTTAATTTTGTCCAAATCATGACCCCCGGGGGTAGGGCGGGGCCACAATGGAGGATCAAAGTTTTACACAGAAATATATAGGAAAAATCTTCAAAAATCTACTTCTCAAGAACAGCAAAGCCATGATGAGTCATATTTATATGGAAGCATCCTCAGGTAGTGTAGATTCAAGTTTGTTCAAACTATAACCCCCGGGGGTAGGGCGGGGTCACGATGGAGGGTGAAAGTTTTACATAGAAATATATAGGAAAAATCTATAAAAATCTTCTTCTCAAGAACAGCAAAGCCATGATGAGTCATATTTATATGAAAGCATCCTCAGGTAGTGTAGATTCAAGTTTGTTCAAACCATAACCCCCGGGTTTGGGCGGGGCCACAATGGAGGATCAAAGTTTTACATAGAAATATAAAGGAAAAATATTTAAAAATCCTCTTCTCAAGAACAGCAAAGCCATGATGAATCATATTTATGTGGAAGCATCCTCAAGTAGTGTAGATTCAAGTTTGTTCAAATGATGACCCCTGGGATAGGGAGGGGTCACAATGGGGGATCAAATTTTTACAAAGGAATATATTGGAATTGTTTTAAAAAATCTTTTCAAGTACAACAAAGCCATTTGTCATATTGACATGGAAGCATTATCAGGTAGTTTAAAATTCAAGCCCCCCCCCCCCCTGTAATCTTTTCAATACTGAACTTATTTGTGCTTTTGCTTAGCCAATGTGCTCAGGTGAGCGATGTGGCCCATGGGCCTCTTGTTTTTTATTTCATGGCTACACCTTAATTCCAATTTAAAATCAACGGTAAAGATACACATAATAAAGTGGAAAAAGGTGTTTTAAAATGAAAGCACAAAAGAGGTATTTGAAAAATAAAAACCTACTTTATCGTACAAATCTGTTATACACAAAAACATAATATTTTTTTCAAGTCTGTCTAAAGTTCTACAGAATGCGAACTTTTGTTTACTATTATTATTATTATCATATAGGTCTTCCGATTTCCTTCGGAAGACCTTACTATTTTCCTTCTGTTTCCTATTATTATTATCATTCCGTTTTCATAATACAAGCAATTTTTTTAGAAACTAGTAGACCGATTTCAAAGTTTTTTGTTTTTTGTTTTTTTTTTTCAGGAAACATGCATTATTAACATATCTCCAGATCATTTTTCCTTTTTTTTGAAAAAATCACTTCCAGTCGCATTTTTGGTCCAATTTTCATATTTCAAATTGCAATTTTTTCCCCGCATTTTCTAATAAATGACTTAAGATAAGTTCTTAAAATTTTCAAGGAAGATAGAGGACCTCTTTGCGTTATGTATGACGCCTTTTGTTTTGGTTTCCATTACTTTCAACACATCACCGGAAGTGATATTTAATTCAGTGTTTTTTTCGAAAAATTGTACTCTTTTGAATAAAGTCATATAGTGCTAATATCTTTATGGATAATAAGCAACAAAAACGATCCATTGGAAGTACGTTCGGTTTAAACCGAAATAAGTCGTAAAATGAAGCTTTTTCTCAAAAAATCAATAGAAATGGAATATCTCTACTTATTAGTATAGTAGTGCAAATTAATACGTTCTTTCATTTGATATAAACAAATAGGGGCTGGCCGTATTGGGGATATAGGGGGGTTGAAAGTGTTTTCACAATATCTCAAAAACTTCTGAGAATTTGTAATACCTTAAAGAAGAAAAGTTGTTCAAAATGACAAGTAACAGCTAGTGAGATTACAAAAAGTCGTCACTTCAGGCCAAACAGGAAGTAGTCGAAAATGGCTTATTTTCACAGATATTGGCACGGAAGTAAATTTGAAATGTCAAAAGGGATGTAAAGCCTTATTATTTAATCGAATATCGTCGCTTAAGACTACTTCCGGATTACCATCATGGAAGACTTCAGGTCTGATTTTTCGTCGGTTTGCGTCACTTTCGATCAAACCGGAAGTAGTTATGAATTTATTTTTTCATGCATATCAACTTAAATTTCATCATTAATTTTAACTATAGGGGCATCTTTTTCATCGAAAGGCTTTTTTTTCAGAATGAAAGACATCTATATAGACTGTCCTTTTGCCTAGCGGCCGGAATTAGAAGTGAAAGTTCGGGTCTTTCAGACGAGGCCTTGAAAACTAGGCCCCGTGTCACAATAGGCGTTTGCACAAAATATACCCCTCTATGCTCAATTGCAATAAATGCCGAGTATAAGTCTAATTTTGAAGCCCGTCACAGGCATACTGTGACGTCTCTATTTGAGTGAAATATTCTCGAATGAGACCTTTAACAGCATACAATCAACATGTGAAGAAGGAAACACTTGCCGTGGCCTCCTACTACTCGACATTCAGATATACCGACGATGTTATATCAATTAACAACTGAAGTTACTTCCATTTAAATCCCTGTGAACTCGAAGATACCACAGAGTCTACCACATCTGCTGTAGGTTTTTTTGAGATCGATCACTGTTTCTTATCTTCACCTATTTCTTTTTTCTTTTCTTTTTTTTTTTTTTTTTGAAAGTAATTTGATGACTACTCAATTTCACAGTAATGCTGATGCATATATGATGATTTAAACTTGTTTCATTGTTGAGTTTTGAAATATTTTACTTAAAATTAGAAAATATAATTGAACATATATTTGAAATAAATCAGTTACAGATGTAAAAATGTACAGATATGTAATAATATTTATCCGATTATGGACACAAGGCATTATTTTGAAAACTCTTAAGATATAGAAAGAGGTTAATGACTTGTTTAACTC